CCTCAGGCTGGGGGCAGAGCCAGCTCTCCTATGCCCACAACATCAGGGCCAGCTCTCCCACACCCTTGGTGAGGGGTGGGGCCACTCTTCAAAGTGTAGGGGCCAGCTCTCCCATGAGGAGCTGGGTCAGCGCCCCTACTGTAGTGTCCAGAAAGTTGTAGGGCCAGCTACCCTAGGGCCAGTGAAGGGAGGGACCGGCTCAGCATGGCCCTCAGATTTCAACATGTATGGTTCCTATTACTCACTGTGGTAACATGGACCATGGATATCAACAAAGACTCCAGTTGCAGCAGGATCACAAACCCAGACGTGGCCCTTGGCAGCAGCCCTGGCCTGGATGACACCATGACCCTGGGTGATAGGCACGACTTTGGTGGTGGCACACTCCCCAGACACCAGCACGGCCACAGATGGCAGCCTAGACCCTGGGCATCTGTGTGGCCTTTGGTGGCAACTTGGGCCACGGACATCAAAACAGACTCTGGCTGTGGTAAGACCACAGACCCAGACATGGTCCTCAACAACAGCTCAGGCTCAGATGTCACCATGGCACCAAGTAGCAGCTCAGGCCACTCAGATAAGCATGGCCCCTGTGGCAGCATGGCCCCCAGACACCAATCCAGGTGGCAGCCCAGACCCCTGGAGTTGGCATGGCCTTCGGTGGTATCAGGAGCCACGGACATCAACACAGACCCTGGCTGCAGTAGGGCTACGGACCTAGATGGTCCTCGGCTGGGATGTCACCATTGCCTTAGGTGTCAGCGCAGGCCACTCAGATCTATATGGCCCCAAGCTCCAGCGTGACCCTCAGACCCTCCACTGGCCTCAGGTAACTGCCCAGACCCCACGTATTTGCATGGCCTTCGTATTAACAGAAGCCGTGAACATCAACACAGATCCTGGCTGTGGTAGAGCCACAAACTCAGACATGGTCCTCAGTCATATCCAGGGCATGGCCTCAGTGGTAGTACATGCTACTCAGATCAGCATGGCTCTCAGACACCAGCATGGCACCAGGTGGGTGACTAGACCCCAGGCATTCAGTGGTTACTGAAGTTGTGGACATCAACACAGACCCTGGCTACTGTAGGGCCATGGACCCAGACATGGCCTTTGACAGTAGCTCAGGCTTGGATGCTGTCATGTCCTCTGATGACAGCATAGGCCACTCAGATCAGCATGGTTCTGGATATATATATCATATATATTAGCTGGTTCCTAAAATGATTTTCTTGTATGCTTCCAAGAACTCCTAACAGTGTATTTATCTAAAATGTCTATCAGGCACCCAAGACCAAAGGAAACAACACCTGTCTCCTAGGTCAGGCAGATAGCGTTATTTCTTATAGGGTGAGACCCTCCTTTCTTATACAACCTTACTATTAGACCCCTAACTTCTTACCTAACCACTTCTAGGAATGCAGACTGAGCACATAGATCCCATTTTGACATACTAACCGGTCATTAGCACTCAGTAGACCTCCTCTTTTACCACTCCCATTTTAGGTTGTAAAAGAAAGCCTGGTGGTCACCACCTGAGGAAAATTCTTACTTGCCTTTATGACCCCGTAAGAATTCAAGCCTGGTGACCTTGTTCTGCCAGAGGATTGCTATTGCTTGGGGTTATAACTGGATTCTTGGGGATTCTTGAGGAGAACAAAGAGAATAAGGAGACCAGAGGAGGAGAGAGAGAGGCAAAAAGAGAACTTGGATGGGGAAGAACTAGATTGAAGGGCTAGAAGAGAGTACTAGAGGAACAAGATGGAAGATGAGGAAGAGCCAAAAGGGGAAGAACAAGGTGAGAAAGGAGATGGGAGAGGAGCTGAGATGGGAAGGAACTAGATGGATGAGAACCTAGATGGGGCAGAACTAGACGAAGGAATTAAGATGAAACTTAGAGGGGACCACAGATAAATGTAGAGAGAAATCAGGCAAGAAGGAAGCTACACATGAGAGCAGAATAGAAGCTATGTAGAGAGAGAACTGACTCATAAGAATAAAGTGTGTAGACTAAAGAATTTCGTGTGTGTAGATTCATTTCCTATCCCCAAAGATTAATTATCAGCTGGTTGCAGATTCTTCCCGGACCCTGGGAGGGGACTATCGAGGGGCTGGACCCCCTTGGGTCCTCATTCCTCACCATCTTCACTTCTGCAGATCTGCCTCTTTCCACAGCACATGAATCGTTCTGTTTCTCTGTCTCCCATTCCTCCATCATCTGTTTGCTCATTACAATGGCACCTACCTTGCGACGCCCTTAGAACTACGGGTTGGAGAAATGACTTGTCCGTGAATGGCTAGATTCACAGCCAAAAGGACAAGAATTATGACTAAAGAGTCAAATTGGTTACAGAGTCTTTCCATCATGAGTTCCTGAAGATGAAGAAATGAAGGAGGACCAAAACCAGGCAACTTCATTAGTTAAAGACACCAATCAAAGATTGCCTTCAGCCTAGAGAAAAAGATGGTGTCGGGTTACTTTTAATACCTCCTGTGCTCTAAAACCTCAGGAGATAACCTCTTATGTTCTTGTTTTGTACCTCCAACTTGTGCTGATGTCTGAGGAAATAACTGCTTGTGAACAGACTTTCTTGTCAGACTTCCTTTTGGAACCACCAGCTCCCAATAATGACATAGAGACTTATTATTAATTATGAAAGTCTGGCCTTTAGCTTAGGCTTGTTCCCAACTAGCTCTTACAACTTAACCCATTTCTATCAATCTTCATTCTACCACGTGGCTTTTTACCTCTTCACCATTCTGTGTGTCCAACTCCCTCCTCATCTCGCTGGCATCTCCTCCTTTCTTGCTCTCAGCGTTCCTCTCTCTCCCCAGAAATCCTGACTATTCTCTCCCACCTAGCTATTGGCTGTTCAGGTGCCTTAGGCAGGTGAGGCAAAACACAGACACATTTTCACACAGTGTAAACAAATATCCTGCAATATATTTGGACATCAGAAAATCTGGGTGACACACATCTCCAACTACATTGACAGTTGAGTACCCCAAATAACTGTGTTCAGAACCTCTCTGACTGCATCTATTAACTCATATTTTGATAGTATACATTTATATTTAATATTTTACACTACTGTATTGATTATATATTATATTTTATATAATTAATATATTAAATTTTTAGTATTTTTTTAACTTAACCTTGGCTGGCCTGGAGCTCCCTATGTAGACCAGGCTAGCCATGAACTCATAGAGATCCACCTGTCATAGACCCCCCAGTTATAGGATCAACATCATGTACTACCATACCCATCACCCAAATATTTTTATTTTAAAATTTTTCTGAGATGTTTACAATTTTCCTTGGCATATGTTTCTAAATGATAAAAATAATGCTAAATTTCTTATTCTTGAGGATGATGATATTCCGTTGCTACATTTCTGGGGTATCTGCATTCTAAATCCAAACTCTTCAAGCCTGCGATTCCATCTCTGGAGCACTGTGACGCTCTCTTCTGACCCCTGGAGGCACCTGCACTCACAGGCACAGACCCATAGCCAGTCCCACTCACATACATATAATTAAATATAATACAAATAAATCTTAGAAAAACTCCAACTCTGCTTCATAAACTGTCTGGTCCTGAAATTCTTTTTGGCACCAAAGCTATGAACCTAGGTTTGGCTTGAGTCAAAGATCCCTGAAAATCTAGAGCAGAGATTCTCAACCTGTGGGTTGTGACCCCTTTGGGGGGTCGAACGGCCATTTCAAGGGGGGGCACATATCCTGCATATCAATATTTGCATTCTGATTCATAACAATAACAAAATTACAGTAGCAATGAAATAATTTTATGGTTGGGGTCACCACAGCATGAACAACTGTGTTAAAAGGACGCAGCATTAAAAAGGTAGAGGCATTTCTTGCACTGCTGAGGGTGGCAGTGGGAGGAGGTATCTGTCCCCACACCACCAACAAAAACATCTCCAGATTGGAGCCTGTCGTATGAGACAGCCTGAATCCATGGTCCTGGGTCCTGGTCTCTCATAATTGGCTTCAGAATAAA